GACCCTTTTGCTGTTCGTCAGCGCCCAGCCATCCACCTGAAGGTGTGAGGGTGTCTCTGATTGAGGACGACACAGCCCTGGTTTCCTGGAGGGAACCAGAGGGGAACAACCTGGCAGTGACACATTACACCATCCTGTACGCCTCACAGAGGGCCTGGCTGGCCGGACACTGGCAGAAACTGCAGAGGAAGGGTGAGTATGGACACTGGCAGACACTGCAGAGGAAGGGCGAGTATGGACACTGGCAGACACTGCAGAGGGAGGACGAGTATGGACACTGGCAGACACTGCAGAGGGAGGGTGAGTATGGACACTGGCAGACACTGCAGAGGGAGGGTGAGTATGGACACTGGCAGATACTGCAGAGGGAGGGTGAGTATGGACACTGGCAGACCCTGCAGAGGGAGGGTGAGTATGGACACTGGCAGACACTGCAGAGGGAGGGTGAGTATGGACACTGGCAGACACTGCAGATGGAAGCTGAGTATGGACTCTGGCAGACATTGCAGAGGGAGGGTGAGTATGGACACTGGCAGACACTGCAGATGGAAGCTGAGTATGGACACTGGCAGACACTGCAGAGGGAGGGTGAGTATGGACACTGGCAGACACTGCAGATGGAGGGTGAGTATGGACAGCTATTGCTTATACCCTTTATACATCACTGAGCCAAGCTGAGCTGAGCTGAGCTGAGCTGAGCTGAGCTGAGCTGTACTGGGCTGGCCTGGTTACACATCCACCGTGGTTACTATAACTGGACTGGAAAGGACATTGTTAAAAGAACAGATCCGAGCCAACACAGTACATTTTGTATCATGGCTGTGTCCTCATGATGTGTTCTTATTCAGTGCTCTCTAACACCAGTCCTGTCTTTCCCCTACAGGGAGCAACACCATGGCCTTGCTGGAGCGTCTGGAGCCTGGTAACATCTACCTGGTGAAGATATCTGCCTCCAACCAGGTGGGAGACGGGCCCTTCTCTACCACTGTGGAGCTGGCCCTGGGGCCTGGGCCTAGACACAGAGGGAAGAGGCCCAGGCACTCAGACAGCGGCTCCTCCTCAGACACTACAGGTCAGTATGGTTACAGGGGCAGCGGGTAGCCTGGCAGTTAAGAACGTTAGGCCAGTAAACGAAAGGTTGCTGGTTCGTGTCCCCGAGCCGGCAAAGTGGAAACAACTGCTCCCCGGGTGCTGATGATGTCGATTAAGGCAGGCCCCCCCGCACCTCTCTGATTCAGTTGAATGCATTCAGTTGTACAACTGACTAGGTATCCCCTTTCCCAATGGAGTGTTGTTGGACTGGGGAGATAAATGAATTTACATGTCTTGAATGTTGATAACACTGCTGTTGGAGACATACAAACTGATCCTGTGCAGAATATAGCATCAAACCAATTATATTTTTAACTCTGCCTTGTCTAAGTGCTAACAGGCTGGTCCCAGATCTGTTAGGGGTGTAAAGCTAACAGCTGTATAGTTCCAGTGCTTATAGTACTTGCCCAAAGTGAGATGATTTCTCCTGTGTAACAGTTTGCCTTCTGCTTGTCTCCTCCAGTGTTCTCTGAGGGACTGCACCACATGGATCAGAAGTCCATGACAGGCATCATGGTGGGGGTCTGCATCGCTCTGACCTGTATCACCATCTGTGCCCTCATCCTCATCAACAAAGGCAGATCCAGGTACGTATCTATAATATTCTTCTTCTTCTTTTATAATCTTCTTCTTATTATTATTTTATAGGAATCTTCTTCTTCTTTTATAGTAATCTTCTTCTTTTATAGTAATCTCCTTCTTTTATAGTAATCTTCTTTTATAGTAATCTTCTTCTTCTTTTATAGTAATCTCCTTCTTTTATAGTAATCTTCTTTTATAGTAATCTTCTTCTTTTATAGTAAACTTCTTCTTCTTTTATAGTAAACTTCTTCTTCTTTTATAGTAAACTTCTTCTTTTATAGTAATCTTCTTCTTCTTTTATAGTAAACTTCTTCTTCTTTTATAGTAAACTTCTTCTTCTTTTATAGTAAACTTCTTCTTCTTTTATAGTAAACTTCTTCTCTTATTTTATAGTAATCTTCTTCTTCTTCTTTTATAGTAAACTTCTTCTTCTTTTATAGTAATCTTCTTCTTCTTTTATAGTAATCTTCTTCTTCTTTTATAGTAATCTTCTTCTTTTTATAGTAATCTTCTTCTTTCTTTTATAGTAATCTTCTTTTAAGTAATTCTTCTTCTTTATAGTAACTTCTTCTTTCTTCTTTTATAGTAACTTTTCTTCTTCTTTTATAGTAAACTTCTTCTTCTTTTTATAGTATTATAGATCTTATTTTATAGAAATCTTCTTCTTCTTTTATAGTAATCTTCTTCTTCTTTTAGAGTAATCTTCTTATTTTATAGTAATTTTCTTCTTTTATAGTAAACTTCTTCTTCTTTTATAGTAATCTTCTTATTTTATAGTAATCTTCTTCTTTTATAGTAATTTTCTTCTTCTTTTATAGTAATATTCTTCTTCTTTTATAGTAATTTTCTTATTTTATAGAAATCTTTCTTTTAGTAACTTCTTCTTTTATAGTAATCTTCTTTTATAGTAATCTTCTTCTTCTTTTATAGTAATCTTCTTCTTCTTTTATAGTAATATTCTTCTTCTTTCATAGTAATTTTCTTATTTTATAGAAATCTTCTTCTTCTTCTTCTTCTTTTATAGTAATCTTCTTCTTTTATAGTAATATTCTTCTTCTTTTATAGTAATTTTCTTATTTTATAGAAATCTTCTTCTTCTTCTTCTTCTTTTATAGTAATCTTCTTCTTTTATAGTAATCTTCTTCTTTTCTAGTAATCTTCTTCTTCTTTTATAGTAAACTTCTTCTTTTATAGTAATTTTCTTATTTTATAGAAATCTTCTTCTTCTTCTTTTATAGTAATTTTCTTATTTTATAGAAATCTTCTTCTTCTTCTTTTATAGTAATCTTTTTATTTTTATTTTTCTTCTTCTTTTATAGTAATCTTCTTCTTCTTTTATAGTAATCTTCTTCTTCTCTTTTTTAGAGTAATCTTCTTCTTTTAGAGTAATTTTCTTCTTCTTTTATAGTAATCTTCTTTTAGAGTAATTTTCTTCTTTTATAGTAAACTTCTTCTTCTTCTTTTATAGTAAACTTCTTCTTCTTTTATAGTAAACTTCTTCCTCTTTTATAGTAATCTTATTTTATAGAAATCTTCTTCTTCTTCTTTTATAGTAATCTTCTTCTTCTTTTATAGTAATCTTCTTCTTCTTTTAGAGTAATCTTCTTATTTTATAGTAATTTTTCTTCTTCTTTTATAGTAATCTTCTTTTAGAGTAATTTTCTTCTTTTATAGTAAACTTCTTCTTCTTCTTTTATAGTAATCTTCTTCTTCTTCTTTTATAGTAATCTTCTTCTTCTTCTACTCCATTTACTCACTACGATCCATCAGCCATTTTTGGAAGACCTCTCTTCAAATAGATTATTTCATATCCACTAACTCCTACTCTTTACTTCAATAGGAAATTGTCCATCTCTAAGAACATTGACGTAGTGAACGGTGAGGGACCCCGTGGTCCACATGCTGGTTTGGCCCCGGCCAATGAACACCCTGCTGAGAACATAGAGGCCCTGATGCCCATGATGACACAACACTTCATTGATGGCAAGGTGAGACGTGGCTCCACAGACACAGGCCACGAGTGTGTATGAGAATGTATTTATGTCATATAGATCCATCTCAGCAGGCAAAACTGGTTGCGAAGACATCACTATGACAACCTTTATGATGCCACCATAAGGTTTTATGCTGGTTGTGTAAAGAAGGTTTGTCAACGTCTTTTATTTTAGCAACCAGAAATAGACGTCTTTATCTGTTTGTAATCTGGTTATCTCTCTGTTTCAGGGTGGTTCTAACCTGGCGTTTAGCAGAGCTGGTCCAGTCTGCGGTATCAACCGCAGTAAGAGATGGCAGTTCTTCAAGAGGGAGAGACACAATAGAAATACAAGCCAGGTAAAGTATTCTGACGTGAACCAATCATGTTGCTGCTATTAGAGAGCCTATCTTCAACGTCTATACTGAACAAAAATATAAATCAAATCAAATCAAATTGTATTTGTCGCAAATGCAACAATTTCAACAATTTTACTCAGTTACAGTTCATATAAGGAAATCAGTCAATTTAAATAAATAAATTAGGCCCTGATCTATGGATTTCCTATGACTGGGCAGGGGCACAGCCATGGGTGGGCCTGAGAGGGCATAGGCCCACCCACTTGGGAGCCAGGCCCACTCACTGGAGAGCCAGGCACAGCCAATCAGAATGACAAAACTGCACATTTTAGAGTGGCCTTTTATTGTATCCAGCACAAGGTGCACCTGTGTAATGATCATGCTGTTTAATCAGCTTCTTGATATGCCACACCTGTCAGGTGGATGGATTATCTTGGTAAAGTAGAAATGCTCACAACAAGA